CCCGCGGGGGATGGCCATGCCACAATTCCTCCTCCATTCTCCTTTTGGAATCTTAGCCATGCACACAGACGTGCTCGACGTGAATTTCAAGCCACTGGGTCTGGGACGTAAACCATAGTCAAATGCATGGGAGTCGAGCAATGTGACCATTACACCATCTACCTGGGTCCCAATTTTTTAAAGTCTATTTATTTTATTCATGTTAGAGAGTGCATGTGCCTACATGTAAGAGAAAGAGAGAGAAAGCACCCTCAATGGGGTCTGGCTCTGCTGCGGTTCTCTTCCCTCAGCCTGGCCTGTCAGGACCTTGGGTACGCATGCATATGCCCAGCACATTTCAGATCAATGCTCAAGGACAGTAATAGACAGTAGGTCGCCACCCAGTGACCAAGGTTAGAAGGGGGAGTAGAGAGGGCCATGGAGAACATTGCAAGGAGATCCAACCAGGGAAGGCTTCCTGGAGGAAGTGATATTTAAGCTGAGGCCTGAATAATGCATAGTAATTGCCAGGCAAACAGGCATGAGGGAGGGAGGGCATTCCAGGCAGATGGAAGGACATTTATAAAGGTGTAGAGGGGAGTGAATCAGAATGAAGCATGAGAAGAAGGGACCGACATGAAGCAGGAGTGGGCTCCGCACCCCTGTCAGGCTTTTCAGGTTCTCCTCTTTCCTCTGCCCCTCCAAGACAGAGCCGGATGGAGTTGAGGATCTCAGGCTGGAGGGAAAGCCCGGTCCCTTATCTCCCATGCTAAACTACTCCTTTCTGGAAAGGTCACCATTCCTGGCTGGCACCTCAGCCTCGGAGCCTCTGCCTCCTCCCTCTCCTCTTGCCTGGGGCAGAATGGAGAATGCCACATCCCTTTGTCCCACAAGAGGCAGGATTTAGAGCTGAATGAGGCTACAGAGACTGTCTTCCTCAATTGCCTCTGCCAGAGTGGCCTCCGCACCAGCCTGGGGCCCCGCGGGCCCTTCCTGTGGCAGCTCCTGGCAGCTCCGGCTCCGACCTGACCATCCTGTTTGGCTTGGATGCCATCCTGACCCGGGAAGTGGGGAGGGATGGGGCGGAGAGGGCCAGACACCTGAACCCTGAGCCCCAGGAAAGGTCAAAAACAGCAGTTCTGCCCAGCCAGGGGTCTATAACTGGGTTCATACAGGACCCCTGGACCCTCACCTGCCCCTGACATCATTCCAGTGTCCGGTGTCCTGGAAGGGACTCCCAGGAAAACAGGGCTTGAGAGAGGACACTAGATCTCTGTCCTGAGCGCCATAGGGTTTACAGCAGGGAGCCGAGTGAGTATTCCCCACTTGGGAAGGGTCCCATCCCCCCCATCGTCTAGGCTCAGGTCACCCGACAGTGAGAGGCAAGACCTGAACCAGTCTCCTGACTCCTGGCTCAGAGCTGGTTCTCTTCTTCATCCTCTCCCTGCAGGGTGCCCCGCCGTGGTGGGTGGGGGCATGAGTGCTGGGGCTCCTTTTTGGGCCCGAGGTGGATGGGACTGGCCGGTGCTGCAGAGCCAGCGGAGTTCTTGTCTCCAGCCTGAGAGCACAGGCGCCCCTCTCCACCACCACTGTGCTTCGTGGGAGGCTGACACTTTCCTGGCCTGTGGCTTCAGAGGCATCATCCAAATTCCTCTTGTTCCGTATTCTAAGACATTCCAGCCACAGACCACCAGGCATGCCCTGATGAGGCGCCCCGATCAGGCTGATCAGGGTGGGGTTACCGCTCTTAGGCAGGAGGAGGACGCACACCTCAGGCCTGTGGGCGTGTTGGGAAGGGCTCAGAGTTCTGGGGCCTGTGTTGGACACTGCAGGGCGCTCTGGATGGCATGCGTCCCGGCAGAGGGCACCCTGTGATCGGGATCTTGCCGACTTTTACCTAGAGGGGAAGAGGAATGAATTGAAGCTAAAGTCTCCACTGGCAAAGAAACCACCCTCATTCATTCGATCGGGATCCAGGGACGTTTGGTCATTCTTGTGGTTGGACCGTGTTCATGCTTTGCCTTGGTTTGGGCATGACCACAGAGAGGTCTTTTGTGTCGTCCTGGCCCGTGATAGCCAGAGAGGGCCTTGTCTGGCAGCAGCGACCTGTGAACACACTCCTGCAGCAGGCTACACCGGGCCTGGGGGTGCCGGCCCTCCCCTGGCTCTCAGGGACAGCTCTTCTCTTTCTCACTGGGAAGGAAACAGCATGGCAGCCTGGGAAGCGGGCCACATCACCCAGGGGCCCACGGGGGACGAGGTCAGCCCTGCCTTGTCTGTGGGCCTGAGGCCGCGGAGGAGGCTCCGCCAGGAGGGGAGGCAGACGTGGTGGTGAGGGCAGCCCTGGGCCCAGATCCCGCCTCTGCTCGCACTCCGGAACCGTACTTGCCCCTGGCAGTCATCCTGCCAGCCACCCCTCAGCCGAAGCCCGTCGTACGCCCGGCGTTGACTTTGGCCCAGTGCGTTCACTCTCTGGGGCTAGTTTATCCCACTAGAAAATGGAAATACTGCGGGTACCTGAGGTCAATTGCTGCCTCTCGGCTGCGACGTCAAATGAGAAATGGCCTGGAGCGTCTCGAGTCTGAGCTTGGCAGAGGCCAGCCGTGCCTCCCGGGTCCCCTGGACCTGCCTGGCCACCTGGGTCTGATGGCCCTTATTAGAAAAGCAGGTGGGGATATTCCACATCCGCTTTCTCTGGAGAGCAAGCGCCCCTTGCCTTGCCAGGGATCTGGGACCTCGGCTGTCCCCACCAAGGTCTGGGGCGGCACCAAGTGGAAGGACAAGGTCCTAGGCTTCAGGCTGCCTGGTCCCCACTTCCAGCTGCTCCCCAAGGCTGACCATATGATGGAGCAGGGAAAGGGCCCTGGTTGTGGGACCACCTTGCCCGCAGCCAAGCACTCCCTGCCACCCCAGTTCTAGGACGCTGCCCGCTCTGCAGCCCGCTCTGCCCCTCGGTATACAGGGGCTGCCCTCCCAATTCTTCTCCAGCCTTCTCCTGGGCACGCCTGGCACCCACATAGCTACTGGGGCTTGGGGAGGCAGAGAGGGCACCAGGGCTGTGGGGGCGGAAGAGGGCATGTACAGTCCTGCCTCTTCCAGGTGTGGAGGATGGGGTGGTGACAGAGGAGGGCGTGAGACCAGCACAGAAGGAAATTCGTGTACCTGCCAGGTAGTGGGGGAGGGCCCGTGACACGGGCTTGAGTGTAAGCGGGGGCGGGGGTCCTCTGCTGAGGGAGCGTGTGCACGGGTGTACCCCGGTGGGCGTAGGTGTGTGCGGCGTGTGGCAGACTCTGAACGCAGGGTGGGTGCACATTCACGTGTGCTCATGCGATGCCCGCCTCGGTGGCGGCTCAGGTACGGCCTGGGCTCAGGATTCCGACTGGCCTGGGCCGATCCCGTCGGGCTCCTTTCTGGCTGTGTGACCTTGATCACATCACAAGCCCTCCCTGCGCCTCGTTCACCCACGTCACAGGTATACCTGGAGATCTTGCCATGTGCCTGGGACAAGCCAGGCAGAGCGGGCTCGAGCCCTCCCGCAGCTGGTGCCCTGGCCTGTCTCTGTCTCGCACAGTGGGGGTACCCACTCCCAGGAACTGTGAAGTGCAGGCTGTGGGCTCAGTGCTCAGCAGAGACGTTTCCTCCTTGCTCTGGACACCCTGGAGCTGCAGCCCTTCTCCCAAGGGACACAGCTGCGAGCTGCTGGGGACAGGGAGCCAAAGGCCCGCAGGGGCGGTCAGCCCAGCCTGCCCTGCTGTGCCGTGGGGGTGAGAGGCCAAGGTTTCTGGGTCGGGGGTGACATGGCGCCTTGGCATTCCAAAGGCCCTGGTGCTTCCCCAGCACTGGCCGAGGGAAACGGGGGAGGATCTGGCAGACAAACAGGCTCTGTGGTCCTCTTCAGTCACCCCCAACCTGCCGACACACACACACACACACATGTGCGTGTTCATGTGCCAAGTATGGGCACAGGTGTGGGGTGGAAACTCCTCCAACAAGTTGGGACGCCCTCTTCCCGGGTGGGGCTCAGGGGGAGGGGGCTGGGGAAAGGACAGAGGAGGTGGCTGCCAGCTTCCCACCGAGCTGTTTACACCCAAGCCATGAGCTGGCTCTTGGCTCCTTCGCTTGCTCACCTGGCCAGGTGTGCCAGGGAGGCTGTCTCCGGCTGGCGTGCAAAGCCCTGGCCTTGCTGGGTTCGGGCACCAGAAGGGGTGGCTGGAGGACTGTGACTGGGCCCTCGCTCACACCCAGATGTCTGATTCTCCTCTTGGGCCCATGGTAACCCCCGGATGTGAGGAACCGCAGTTCCCTCTGCAGCTCGGGGAGTGGGTGCAGGGCTGTCGGGCCCCCTGAGTCAGAAAGGACAATGCCTTGGCAAAGGCGTTGGCACCTTCCCTTCCGCATCAGTGGGCATCAGTAAGGGTCCCCATAAACATGGTGCACTGGCCAGCCTTGGCAGATGGGCAACACTGGCCACAGTGAGTCAGATCCAAGTGCCTCTGCGGTCCAGTCCACGAGGGCTGCAGGAGCCGGGGTGCTCGCTGGGCTTGCCTGACCCCTCTCAGCCGGCCTTGGCTGGGATGGGAGGCAGGGAGAGGCCAGCAGAGATGGAGGAAGAGCTGGGTCCCCTCGCTCAGGCCAAGGTCAGAGTGTGTGGATTCAGCACCACCTACCCACACGGCCAGCCATCCCCAAGAGGAAGCCAGGCTCTGGAGTTAGACTTGTGGGGTGATCAGGAGCGAGCCCCTTCCCTTTCTCTCTGGGACTGTCTTCCTCTTCTGCACGATGGCGGTGTATCTGCCCCAAGGCCCGCGTGAGACCAGGGTCGCTTGGGCATCCAGTGTGCTGGACAGGCGTGTTCGCGCATGCTCCTGCTCGGGGTCTCCCTAGTCCTCCCAGGGGCCCTCAGAGGCCAGCACCATCATAGCCCCGTTTTACGATGAGGAAATGGGGGCCTAGAGAGAATCTAGGGGAGAGACAAACTGGGAGATACCCATCCTGCCCTCCCTTTCAGGGAGCAGCCCAACATGGCCACGTCACGGTCACGGCGGATAGAGAGCCTGAGGGCCCCGGCAGGCTGGGGGTTCTGTAACCCAGGCGTGGGGCTCTCGGCCGAGTTTCGTCCCCTCGGGCAGCAGGTCCAGCAGCAGAGCCAGCCCCCCTCCCCTAACAAGGCCATGGGAGCCCTGGAGACCAGGCCTCCTCCGCCAAGCGGTTGCCGCCCCAGCTCACAAGGGGCCCTCAGCACCAGGGCCTGCCCGGTGACCTGCTTGCTGCGCCCCGTTGCTGGGCAGAGGGCGTCCTCCGACCAGGGCATCGGCTGGGTGTTCTCCCTGCTCTCCGCAACTCCAGGTCATCTCTGTTTTGTTACATTCAAGGAACAAGATGGAGGTGAGCTGGAACTCCTCAGAGACGCAGGGCCAGGGCCGCAGTGCCGCAGGTGGGGAGCATGCCGGGCAGCCCCAGCACCTGCTCCTGCACCCCCACCCGGTCTCTCCGTTTTGCCTCCCCATAACCCGCAGGCCCCTGCCGAGGTCACTCTTGCTCCCTTAGTCGCCCTGCTGAGTCTGGCGCTGTGGCCAGCTCTCCCACCTGGACTTTTTCTCCTCCCTCCAGCCTCCCAGCCTCCACTCCAGCCCCTTCCCAGCTCCCACCCCACGCTAAATCTCTCAGCAGGTCCACTTTCCTCCTGATGAAGCCCCGATGGCAGGGAGGGAGGGAGGCCTGGCTGTACCCTGAGGCCCTCAGAGACCTCCTTTGGCCCCAGGTCCCGTTCAGGGAGCTCCCAGCAGCCCAGTCCCTCTCCCTTGGGCATTGCCTCATGGGCACCAGGCCCCTGGGATCCGTGTGGCCATGGTGGAGCTGCCTGCCCACACCCTCATACACCAGAGCTGCCGAGCAGTCAGGCACCGTGTGCAGGTCTCCCCAGGTGCCACCTGTGCCCCTTGGTCCTCTGCAGCCACATGCCAGGGAAGTCGTAAGCAGCTGGTCTTGAGCACAGGGCCCCGAGTAGGCTTGGGCACAGGGCCCCAAGGCCTCCTCCCAGCGCCCGCTGGGCAGGGCGGCTGCAGCTCAGCCGCTTCCCCTTCTCGGGGCAGGGAGGTCTCCGCCCAGTGCCCACCCTGCGTGCCGCGATCAGGCAGCCCCCAAGCAGGTTGTTTTCCTGGCCTGGGCCTGGCTCAGCCTCCAGGGCTGCCGGTCACGTAGCCAAACTCGTTTCTCCTCTCCCAGTGCCTGGCTGCTGAGCACAGCGGTTTCCTGCTGGGAGAGCACAATGGAGCTCACCCAAGGGACCCGCCCTGGGGAGGCACCAGCCCAGCTATCTCTGAGCGCTGTGTGACCCATGGCAGGGCCCACGCCCTCTCTGAGCCTTGCTTTCCCCAGAAGTGAGGGGGTGAGACGAGGTCATGAGAGGTCATTGTCCAAAAAAACGGTAAGAGCAAACTTTCTTTAAGCATCAAGGACAGCCAGGTCCAGCGCCCACGTCCTCATGGCCACCCTGGGAGGTCAGGACGCGTGAGGATACCTCGCTGGCCACAGTCGAATCTCCTTCTGTTCGACCTCTCAGAGCTCCTTCCTGTCTCCTGCTCCCCCTGGCCCCATCCCTGTCCTGCCTCGCTCTCCTCTTCCCAGGAGGCTCCCAGCCTGGGCCAGAGTGGAGAACTAGGAGAAAGGGTTGAAGGCACAATTAGACGGGGGCCAAGGGGGACAGGCCTGTTGGCCCTGGCTGGCATGGAGAAGAGGGTTACGGAACTATGGAGCTATGGGAAGAGGAACTTGTTAGAATTATTTATTCAATTGTATTTATTATTATTGTTATTTAATTTGACCAGAGAGAGACAGAAAGAGGGAAAGTGAGAAAGCAAGCCAGCAGGTCCGGGACTCAAACCACGGTCGGCCCTGTG